GAGGTGATAAGCCGCAGGCTGTTGGATTAGCGACTTTCGGCCAGGGTGACTGCGGTGCCTGATGGCGGCCGTTTCTGTCGTAGCCAACAGATGCTGTCCAAGGGAAATCGAATAGCTTGAGGACACCTTGTAGATCACTCGAAAGGCCTCTCTGGCATCTACGCGATGGTCTGAGTCTACTAGGTGCACTAGAATGGGACTGTTTATACCCTTTACCTGGCCCTTCCCTAACCATGCTGGAATGTGTTCTCATACTCGTTTGGACAAACGCCGGCTTGTGTGACCAATATATCCTGCCCCACAGGAGCATGTGAATGAATAGCTGCACATAGAGGTGGTTTGGGCTGGCAGTTTTTCCTTGATCTCCCGCACAGGATGGGAGAAGTCGACAACAGTACATGGGCTTTAACTGCTGAAAAGGTAGTTGTTACAGCTTGACTCAGGCACCCTCTTATAAGTTTACTTAGTCCGTCCCCTTTGTGAGTATTCGCTTCTTCTCTGCTGTTATCACTGAGGGCTTTGGCGTTCTATTAGCCGCGTTTTCAGCGGCAAATCGACTGGGATACCCATTTTGTCGAAACACACCCTCAACAATCTTAAGCTCCTCTTCGATACTATCAGTCGAGCAGATCCTTTTCACTCTTTGCATCAAACGTCGTAATAAATTACGTTTGGAGTTTAACGGTACGCAAATAGCAAAATGGGTGCATTGCCCGGAGTACGTCTTCTTACTATAGAACCTATGTTGAATACTTCCGTCAGTCCTTTTACTCAATAGTACATCAAGGAATGGGAGCGATCCGGATTGTTCTTCTTCTAGTGTAAACGTGATAGACGGGTGCGTCTGATTTGTGGTATGCAGTAGAGCTGAAATGCTGGTTTGATCCGATGAAACGGCAAATATGTCATCCACGTCATGTCTGTAGTACGTCAGATTATTTATCTGGTGGCTAAGTTGCGGAGCTTCTAGTTTGCCCATGAATATATTTGCTAGAAGCGGGCACAGGGGCGAGTCCACAGCTTCTCCGTCCAACTGCATGCACAGGTTGTTTTCAAATAGGAACTGTACATTCAAGGTACATTTTCATAGCAATTCATTGAGTGCATTTACCGGCATTTTATGTCCTGGTGATTAGAGGTAATTAATTCACAGGCGTAATTGACTGGTCCTGTGACTGCCACTTTCGTGAACAGGGACGAGACATCCAGTGAAAACACCACCGTCCCGTTCAGTTCGAGGTCTTTCACGCCGTCCACGAATTCGAAGGTGTCTCGGAGACTGTATGGTGCCACTTGACTCTCTATGGGTTTCAGTTTGTCAGCTAGTCATTTTACCGTTTTTTTTTCCTACCAACCCGCATACTCTATTTAGTTAATTACCATATAAATGTAAAGGCGTGACGGGAATTTATCGAAAACAAACGCATGTTTGCCGATTAATCTTCTGAAATTAATTAATATTTAAAAAACCGCTATACGCAATGCGATTTGTGTCAAAGTGCACGGCAACAGCGTGTAATCATCGTGTGGTTTACCGATGAAAAAAGCTTTTGAATTGTGCGTTACAGGCAGGTTGGGTGCGGTCGGAATAACTGACAGTATTGAGACTAACCACAGCTACATCAACGCGGGGAACATGAGAACTGGCTGGCTGCGGGCTACTTTGCACGATCAAACATACCCACAGAGAAAAGGTCCTTAGCGGATACTGAATACGAGAAAAAAAGCTGGCGAGAATGGCAGCTTAGAAATGACGAGCTGCGTACACTGACACCTTCGGGTGTGTCTGCGCACCAATCTAGCGAACCGGTTACCCATAATAAACCGCAGGTGACAGGGTCGAAACAGACAGCAGGCTTCACCCACAAACGCACGGCATAATCCCAGAGAAGAAAAACCGGTGTCAGAGAAACTACGGGAAATGGGAAGACGACTGGATCGCCTGACGTTTCGAGATCCGTCACGGATTCATCATCAGAGACATAAGCAG